AGTGCCAGAAATCCTTGGTTGGGTCGGCTGCGATTAATTTAAGTTTCCAGACTTTGGTTGGGTCGAATGTCCCACATTGGAAACGTACAGAAGGTGGAGATTAGTGTTGGGGGATAAATACAAAACTATGGTCCACGTTACAACTTACATACCTGGACGGGGTCTATGGGTGATCAAAAAGGCCCATGGCCTAGGTGGGTGGCTTCCATTGCACTTTGGAGGTGCACTTGCCTAACATCTCCCTAGAGGAGACTGTACGTCGTAATTTGTGGTAGTGGGGCTGTGTACGCGCGGCCCTCCTAAATTCCATTTTCAAAATTTTGTTCCTTTCTGTTATGTCTATTTCATCTTGTTTAGGAGTAATTTTGGATCTCCAAAAAGTGATTTTAAGTAGACTTAGTAATATGGAAAATGCTAAAGGCACCAACTTTGGGCACCAACTCTTTAATAGAGCATGAGACCCGTTGTACTGGCGGGCTCCACCTCTATTAGAGAGTTGGTGAGCAAGTTGGTGCCCAAAGTTGGTGCCTCTAGCACCACCCGTCTAACAGGTCGTGCCGTGTAAATTCGCGAATACTCGTTAACCCGTTAAACTTAGGGGTATTTTTGTAAATTTATATATATGTTTTTTCTTTTTTCTCCTCTTTCTTCTCTTCCTCCCCCATTCCCCCAGCTCTTCCACTATCTTTCTCTTCGTAAGTTTCTTCTCTTTTCATTATTTTTCTCATAAACCAAACATAGCTCTCTTTTATGTTCTTCTCTCTCACTTTGCCACTCTCTCTCTCCTCCTTCAGCGAACCTTTTCTCTCACTGGTTGTGTCATTAATGGAGGTTTATGGATTGGGGAAAAAGGAGAGAGAGGAAAAGGGGGGCTACGCAGCGATTCTCTCCGTGGTTTTTTTTTAAAATATTTTTTTTAATTCTTAACGGGTGAAACGGGTCATGTCATGTCGTGTGATTTGCGAATTGTAACGGGTCGTGTTCGTGTTTGACATTTTCCACCCGTTTTCTTATCGTGTCATGTCATGTGAACCCGTTAAGAAAAGCGTGTTGATGCGAACACGACACGAACACTGCAAACACGACACGAATGCTAGGTGTAATTTTAAGTAATTTTTGAAGCATGTGCTTCTCCATAAAAGGGATTATTGATCTCTCCAGAATCACTCCCAAATGAGCCCTAAGTTTCTATACTAATTGTATTCTGTCAAATTATTTCACCTTATAGAAATTAATTTCTGCATGATTATAGCTTCATTATCATACACCATTATCACCGATTACTTTATCACATTTTAGCTGTTATCTTTTCATAAAACATACATATGGCGCATTTTGAAAAAGTTAATTTTTTTTCAAGTGTAATTTTGCTAATAACATTTCATCATCATACACCATTGTTATCACCGATTGATTATATGTTATTTATGTCACATTTTAGTTATAATATTTTCATAAAATATACGTGTGATTTTGATTATTATTTTTTCTTTTCATAAGAACTACGGTCAAACTTTAATAAAATGTCATTATGCATGGTAATTATTTTCAACCATGATGCAATGTGGCAAATGACGAATAATGAATGTAGTTGTGAGCCATTTTCCAATTCCCTTGTTTATTTTGTTATATATTAATTAGTGAAAAAACAAGTTTATGCTTTGAATCTATATAAACTATAAAGCTAATATTTGATTATTTCGAGTTCTAAATTTGAGGAGAAAGGAACTCAATATTTCTATTGAGTTGATTGATTTTGTTATTTGTTAGTTGCTTTAGTGAAAAAAACAAGTTTATGCATTAAGTATATAGGGACGGACTCATGATTTGAAAATGAAGTGGACTAAATTTACCTTACGTACAAATTTACTGAAAACTCGACGGTACGAATGAATTTCATTGATAACAAAAAAATACACGGGGTACATAATGGGCCTTACCCCTCAAAAACCCCGTATTCGATACCTCTATTAAAATAACATATATTTAAAATAATATATATTCAAAATAATCATTTTCCAAATTAGCATAGTTACTAGAATTCCCCAAAAAACAATAGCCCAATACAAAGGTGGAGGGAAAAGACCTATGTAGAGTTGAGAAGAAGCAGCCTTGGAACTGGTGCAGCCAATCGATAAGAGTGTGGGGTTTTTTTTAGGTTGGTTAGCCAGCCTAGTGGGGATTAGTTAATTAGATTGGCTTAGGCTAGGGTATTATTTTAGTCTTAAAAAAAACAAGCCTCCTAGGCTATAGCCCAGGTTAGTTTGTTAATAGTACTGTCCCTTGTATATATAAAATATAAAGATAATATTTGACTGTTATGAATTTAGGGATATAATTGAGAAGAAGAAAAAAAACTCAATATTTCAATTTCTTCGTTGAATTGGTCAATCTTTGACCCATCAAAGTCATAGTATAACAAAAAATAATGTAAGCGTAACTTTGGAGCATATAGAAGAACACCGCTTGTCAAGAGAGCAAGTAGTAATGCAGGAAACTCTATGTAACTATATCATCCCATATTAGATTTCATCCTGGTGGTTCAATTAAGGCCTATAATTTGTATCCCATATAAGATCTCA